TTTTTTTTTTTTTTTTTTTTTTTTTTTTTTTTTTTTTTTTTTATGAAGAGGAACTGGGGTTTAATAAAGATATTTTAAGGGACCAGAAAGATGGTTCTGTGGTTAAGGTTGTTTGCTGCTCTTCCAAGAGGACTTGGTGTGGTTCCCAGCACCCTTGTCTGGTGGCTCATAATCACCTGTAATTACATAACTCCAGAAGTTCTGACACACATCTTCCAGGCTCTACACACACACACACACACACACACACGCACGCACGCACGCACGCACACACACACACACAGTGTTAAAAGAAGGTACTCAGCAGTGGATACAATCTTCTCAGGGAAGTCAGATAACATAAGACATGCCAAGTGTGAGCATGAGTTCATGAAACGAGAGCTGCCCATATAAACGTCTTGTTTTCAGTCTGGATCCTCTGTGTAACCCAGGCTGTGATGGAACTTGCAGCAATCCCTCTGCTTCTGTCTCCTAAGTGCTGGGATTAGACCTAGGACACCATGTCCAGCCCAGCCCATATGCTTGCCACAAATACATTTTTCTTTCTGAGACTGGTTTCCTCTGTGTATCCCTGGCTATCCTGGAACTCACTTTCTAGACCAGACTGGCCCAGTTCTCACAGAGATCCACCTGCCTCTACCTCCCAAGTGCTGGGATTAAAGGGGTGTGCCACTATCGCCCAGCACAACTGGAAAGAAAAGAGCCTGGCATGTTTTTCACTTTTTAAAAATATTTTATTTAGTTTTTGAGACAGGGTCTCACTGGGTAGCTCTGACTTGCCTGGAGCTTCTCATGTAGACTGACCTCTAACTCAGAAATCCACGTGCCTCTGCTTCCCAGATGCTGGCATGTATCAAAACATGAACAATTCATTAAATCTGAGGTCACTACCAAAATCCAAAAGGATTAGGAATTGCCAGCCCTTTCTGCTATACGTCACTCTTAAACCACAGGATTGAAATATTTGTCCAACAATTACAAGAGTTTTCTGCTTATTTGGGGGAGACTGGGTCTGACATAGCCCAGGATGACATGGGACTGGCTAGTTGCAGACAACAGACTTCAACTTTGGGTCCTCCTGTCTCCACCTCCCTGAGTGCTGGGAATATAGGCTTTTGTTTCATTGAATGTATAGTATTTCATAGGATGTTGCTATATAGCCCAGATTGTCTTATGACCCACAATCCTCTTGCCACAGGCTACCCAATGTTTAAGAGATGGCACCGTTGTTAAAGAGCCTGACTTGAAAGCATAAGGACCAGAGGTCAATACCTAGAACACACATAAAAAATGCTAGATATTGTAGCACACACTGTCCTCCCAGTGCTGGGAAGGGAGAGACAGGATACCTGGGACTGATTGGCTAGCCACTCTAGTCTAATTGTGCATGCTTATCCAGACAATAGGAGACCCTGTCTCAAAGGAGGTAAACAGAATCCCCGGGAATGACAGCAAAGTTGCACACACGTACAGGTGCCCATCCCCTCCCCCCTATGCACAACAAAAACGTATGTCAGAGAACAGAATATGGGGGAGAGGCATTGAATGAACCAGTTCGGGCAAGAAAACAGTGATGCAAGTGAGAGACATCACTGCCCCTTTTGGGAGACAAACTGAAGAGGACATGGCTTGGCATGTGTGAATGGAGGTTTCACTCACTGAGAAAAGTTAGGAGGGGAGGAGAGTGCATGCACGGTGTGGAGAGTGCATGCACTGTGTGAAGGATCAGTGATGGAAAAGATGGATTAAAAACAGCCAATGAGAGCTAGGCTGTGAAGTTGGCAGGTCCTAGGCTGGTCTGTCTTACTATTGTCTGTCGTCCTACTGCTACGAAAACCTCCAGGGTGCTGGGTGCGCACCTGTGGCAACCACCACGTTTCCTAAGAATTACTGAAAATGATCGGGAGCAATGCCTTCTGCTTTTCAGTGGCTAAACTTAGGTTTGTTTTTGTTTGTCTTGTTTTGTTGAGTTCCGAGCTTAAATGTAATGTCTAAATTCACTGAAGAAGAACTAAGACCTGCACTTTGTTTTATGCAGACGTGGTGTGGGTTAAGATTTTAAGAGGTTCAGAATCTGTTCCTGTGCAGAAATAAGGCCAAATTGTGCTGGTAAAGGAATTCCTGAAAGTGTAGAGGAGAGACCTGTCATTCATATTGTAGAAGGAGAGCTCACCCAATTCATAATCCAAAAAAATGCCAATCCTGCTGGGCTGCACCACTGGCAGAATCTCCATTCTTTCAGGCCCATAGGTGACATAGCCATTCTCACTGTGTCTCCCAACTGCCCATAAGCCCTCAGCAACTGAGGGTTGCCCACTCCAGTTCCCAGGAAGGCAATCTTGACACACACCCAATGTCCACATGGGCTTGTTTCCCACTTTCACCTCCCAGTAACAACGACCCGAATGAAATCCTTTACATCCTAGGAGAGCAGGCCAGTTGTGAAATCTCTGAGGGCTAGCACAAACACTTTTCCTTGATTCTTTATAAAGCACAGATTTTCTGTCCTCAGAAACAACAAGCTGAGGGTGTGCTGTGTCAAGATCAAAAGTCACATCTATTTGAAATCGCTTGGTGATTCTGTCCAAGCCAGAATACTGTGGCGGGAGACCAAGAACATATTCCTTTGTACTAAATGACCAGTGTTTGGGGCATCTCAGGTTTTCAAATCTGTGGTCGACTTTCAGAATGCTTGTAAGAAGTGTGACATCTGACTCTGCAAGCTTGGCCTCTGCTTCTTCCAACATATGTTCTAATGTGTGCTTATGGTCTGATAGTGTCCCAAGATATTCCTGCAGCTTTGATAAACCCACCAGCTCATCAATGTGCTTCTCATTTAGCAGTGCCTCATACTCATTCTGCAGGAACAGTTTGACTCGCTCAAATTCAAAACGTATCTCATGTTTTTTACAGTCAAACCTCTTCCTCAGTTCAAGAACTCTTGTGTGCTGCATTTTCAGTACTTGTTCAGCTTTTTTCAGCCTGCCCTCCAAAAGCTCCCTGTTGCCTTCTAGAAGTCTCCTATGATGAGGGGCGGCTTTCCAAACAGGGCAGATGAAGTGCATCTTGTGTTTACCAGACAATTGGCACTGGATACAGAACATGTTTAGATCATCCATACAGAAAAGGATCCGAGCCTTATTGTGCTTCCGACATATATCAGACATTCTAAGCCACCTCACTCTGATCCGATTCCTCTGCTGCATTTGCTTAAAGATATCAACAAGGTTACAGATCTGGAAGTTCCTGCTGAAGCGCTTCTGTGTGAAATAACTGGGACAGATAGGGCAGAGGTAGATGCCCCTTTGATCTTTCCAGAAAGAAATGAGGCATGAGCGACAAAAGTTATCCCCACAACTAATGGTCACTGGGTCTTTGAAGAGATCTAAGCAAATAAGACACGTACAACTTTCCTCCAAGCTTGCCAGGATTGCTAAGTCCATTGTCTTGTGAGCAAAGCAGGTGGAGAAAGATCCTTTGGCAGGGCCTGCCTCCTAGGAGCTGCAGACACTGTAAGCCATGGGTGTCCTTTCAAGTCCTTGCAGAATGACCAGCTGTTGGTGTCACTGGTCTGACAGGGTGGTAGTCTTCTAGCCAAAGTGCCTTAATGGAGCTCAAAAATTGAGAGGAATTCAAAGACACCGCTGTGCCTGTTGGAAAAGCAACATGTGTGATGGACTTGGTGCTCCTGTGGATAAGAAAAAGATTTTTATAATTTTTAATTATGTGTGTGTAAACATTAATGCGGGTGTCCAGGAAGGCCAGAGGCATTGGATCACTCCAGGGCTAGAGTTTTAGGTGGTTGTGAGCCCAGCAAAGCATGCATAGATGGGAGGAGGGCCATCTTGCTGGCCCAGTGGGGCAAAGTGCTTGAGGCCAGCCCTGACGACCTTAGTTCTATCCCCAAAACCCCATGGAAAAAAGGAACAATTCTGTAAACTGTTCTCTGGATGCCACATGTGGGCTCTGGTATGTGTATAAGTACAGAAACACACGTACACACAAACCAAAAGTCTACTTAAAAATCAAGGTAGAAGGAGGGGAACCAACTCCACAAAGTTGTCCTGACTGTCTTGGAGAAACCCACACCCATGCTCTTAGTGGCTTTACTTTCTTCCTGAACACATCTTTCCTTTCCTGAACATAAAAAAAAAAAAGAAAAATCCATGTTAAAAAAAATCAAGTCTGGTGTTGAAGCTCAGCAGATCAGGAGACTGAGTACTTGCTTCGCAAGCATCAAGCTCTGGATTTGGTCCCAAGTGTAGCATATACTGGGTAAACATCTATAATCCTAGCACTTGGGAAGCTGAGACAAGTGATGGCAGGTTAAGGCCAGCCTGGGCTAAACTGAGAGAACTTGTCTTGAAGCAAAACAAAATACTACTCAACTGAAACACTAGGCTTGCTGTCCTTTTGTGTGCTCACACATTACTGTGCAGCCTTCAAAACTATATTGAGCCAGGTGGTGGTGGCTCATGCCTTTAAGTTTAGTACTCAGGAAGCAGAGGCCAGCCTGGTCTATAGAATGAATTCCAGGACACCCAGGGCTAAACAGAGAAACCCTGTCTTGAAAAAATCAAAATCCCAAACAGAAAAAAAAAAAAAACCAATTTATGTTGAAATGCTTCAGACAATATTCTGTCATACTCCATTGGTTGGAGTTATCAAAATCCTAAATATATCTAAAGAGGATTTCACAAGAAAAGTACCATTTTTATTCTATCTATGATGATATAAATAGATACAGCTGGACAGTGGGCTCTAATGGAAGTGTTGAACCCCACACTACCACTGAGGTAGTGACATTGTGCTGGGTTTCTGCAGGCTTGAGTCTCCATTTCAGGAAGGTGGGTACAATCAAGGAAAAGACGATCACTGTAAGCTGAACTGTAAGGGAGGAGTGTGGGGAGTGTGGAGTACACCCACAATGTCCACACTGGGTAAGGAAACAGAGGCAGAGTCCTTGCCAAGGTTGAGGGGATGGCTTTCCCTATGAGGACCTAGATATATTTTAATGTTTAAAAATGATACTTATTAACTTGTATAGGGAGGGATATGCCATGTCAGGGTCCCTATGTGGATACCAGATAACAATTTGTAGGAGATGGCTCTCTTTCCACCATCTGGGCCCTGGGGATCCACTTTAGAATTCCCAGAACTCCAGAAGGTGGATGGAATGATCAAGTCTGAGGGCTTGACGCCCATCGACCCTTTAGCCACCTTTCACACATACTTTTCCCTGACTTTCCTGGGCCCTCACAGCCCCTTCATGCCCTTAATTCCCTTACTCAGTCACCTCTACAAATCCAGGTCCTGTTCAGTCTGTGCCAAGTGGATTCTGCATCCTAGTTCAATAGCATGTTAAGATCTATGTGTCTTAACCATTTAACTCAGAGAAAATTTCCAACTCGCAATCAATTCTGCAGGGTCCTAGTTTTCCAAACACAAGTCTAACCCTCGAATCTTCCACAATAGCTTCTCAGGACCCTAAGATAGCAAGATAGTGGGCAACAGCATGAGCACACCATTCTCACAGTTCAGATTTTACTTGTGGCCATTTTGGTTAAGAATACCAGAGTAGCTGGGTGGCAATAGTGTACACCTTTAATTCTGACACTTAGGAGGCAGAAGCAGGCAGATCTCTGTGAGTTCGAGGCCAGCCTGGTCTAGGACAGACAAGGCTACATAAAGACACCCTGTCCTGAAAAAGAGAGAGAGAGAGAGAGAGAGAGAGAGAGAGAGAGAGAGAGAGAGAGAGGAGAGAAAGAGAGGTCCAATTCATAGTGTAAATTCTTGTCTTTACAGCCCAGCATTTTTAACAGCACCCTTCCAATTTCGGCACTCTAGAGGTAGAGACAGGCAGATTCCTGTGCCTTGCAGGCCAGCCAGGATATTAAGTACAATATGGTCTCAAAACCAACCAACTAACCAACCAACAAAAAAAGGGTGTTTTAAATAGGATAGGCTGCGCCAACGTGATGGATCAGTGAGTGTACAGGTGTTTTCAGGCCCGGGATGCACAGGACCACCTGGGTTCAATTCCCAAACTCACAGAAAAGCTGTAAGGAGAAACTCCAAAAGGTGTCTTTTTAGCCCCCACAGGCACCATGATATGTGCATGCCCCGATACACATCTCACACAGACACAGTAATAAAGTGGTTTTGTTTTTCTTTTGAAAATTGTACAGGCTGACTTCGAATTCATTATGTGTAATTCAAACGAGCTTAAACTTTGGATGCTCTGCCTTGGCCTCCCGATAAGTTGGGATCTGACCTGCAGGCCTGCACGCAGACCCAGAAGTGATTGTGTCTTTCTTGATTAATTAATTTTGAGAGCAGGATTCACTATGTAGCCCTGGCTGGCCTGAAACTCCTCATGTAGACTAGGCTGGCCTCCAACTCCCAGAGATGCCTCAGCCTCCAAGGGTTGAGATTAAAGGCGTGGGCCACCGTGTCCGATTTGATTCTGTTTCTCTTAAAAGAGGCTCCAGAATCTAAAGAGACCATATAGCACACAATCTGCGCCCCTATGGTTTCCACACTTAGTTAAGCTTCTTCCATCAACTCTTTCTATGCCCCATCCACCCCAGTTTACCTGTACCGGGCACAGCAAGTAGTCCCACAGCCTAGCAGAGCTCAGAACAGCGCACAGCCTTCTCTCAGTTGCAAAGATATTGGGTATCTCGAAGTGGGAGGGTAAAGGACCTGAGCATGCCCAAAGGCACTTGGATGAAGAGCACCTGTTTTTATGATGCGATCCTTGTTTGCATTGACAACCGAGCGCGCGGGCACGTGCGCACACGCGCGTGCATACACACACACTCACACACACACGTCTCACACAAACATGATAATAAAACCATTTTTAAAATGTTGGATAGGTTGGCCTTGAAATAATTCGGTAGGTCAGATAGGCCCTTACCCTTTGGATTTTTCTGCCTCCACCTACAGATGAGTTGGGATATGTGGCCCTGCAACAGTGATCAAAGAAATGATCCTGTGTTTCTTGTCTTAAAATTTTAAAATTTATTTTTGTGTGTGGGTATTTTTCCCCTTTGGACGTCTGTGCACCGTGTGTGTGCATTCCTGGAAGCTAGAGAGGCTGTGAGGGTCTCTGGGGCTGCACAGACGTTTTGAGTTGCCATGTAGACGGTGGAAACTGAACACTGCTCCTATGAGCAGCCGGTTCTCTAACCCAGAGGAGTCGGCTCTCCAGCCCTTTATGATTACAGTCTTTTTAAAGCCAGGAGCAACTTGGGAGTAAAGGTTAGCTCCAACTATTCCATTACGAGTCCAAAAAAGCGGAGGATCCATTGTCCATGGTTGTCATTTTCAGCTCTCAACTTAACACAAGAGAAGGACACCTGGGAAGAAGGACTCTCAAGTTAAGGATTGCCTCTATCTGATTATCTGTAAACATCTGTGGAGCATTTTCTTCATTACTCTGTGATGAAGCGGCAGCCCATTGTGATTAGTTACTTGCCAACAATGAGACAGTGTCTCAAACAAGGTAGAATGTCCTGATTGCCACTCCAGACTGTCTCCTGACCACTTGGGAGCCACAGCGCTCACATGTCCACATTCACAGACGTTGCACACACTGGCACATACAATAAAGTAAAATTAAAAACCAAACAAAGGAGATACAGAGATGGCTCGTGGTTAAGAGCAGTTACTACCGTTGCAGAGGACACAGGTTTGGTTCCAGGAACCCATGTAGAGTGGTTCACACCTGCCTGTAATTCCAGATTCTGGGGATCCCACACATCTTCTGGCCTCCATGGGCTCCTGCACTCATGTGGTGCACATAAACTCATACAAACACATACACATAAATGAAGAAAAAAATCTTAAAAACAAAACACAACAACAAAAACCAACAACACAGTGAGGACAAAGCGAGATCAGTGGGTAAGGTGCTGCCTGGCTGATGGTGTGTGTGAGTTTGATTACCAGGGCCTGGGTAGTGAAAAACAGAACTGATGCCTACAAGTTGTTGTCTGTCCTCTACAAGAAGAATGTGGAATTCACACCAAGACTCAAATAAATAAATCTAAATGTACAATTTAAATTTTAAAGTGATTTAACAGGGCAATAAGGCAAAGAGCTGAGCCCCATTCCAACCCCAGTGATGTCTAAGCATTGTTTTTCACTAGTTATTGAGACAGGGTCTCCCTACATTTCCTAGGCTGGTTTGAACTCAGGGTCCTCTAGGCTAAGATTATAAGTGTGTTTCATGGTACTAAGTTCTCTGATTGGATGTTCTAAAGCCCCCTAGTCTTCTACAACAAAGGATTGTATGGAGTGTACTCAAATTTTAGTCAATAATATTAGGAGTGGGTCATGAACCTGCCTGCCTCCATCTTAGAAGCCATCTTATAGTAAAGGTAAACTAGGTTCATTCCTGTTTATGATTAAACCTCTATTTCTCTAGGATTTGTCT